CCCCTCAGGGAACAAGGGGACAGGTGAGATTCAAACTCAGGTGCGTCTGCCTCCCAATACGGTGCCAACAAGACCGATGCCACTGCAAGGATCCACCTCTTGGTGACAAGCCACTGTGTCCTTCCTGAGTGACATTTTGTCCCCTACTTAACCAACACCTACATAATGATGACTCAGCTTCTCCCGGTCATTGGAAGAATTAGCAGATAGAAAATCATCAAAGATACAGAACACCACCACCCACCGCTGCTACCCAACCGCCCTTTACAGAACATTCCACCTAGGGATCTCAGGACACACATTCTTTTTTATTGCGACTGGGACAGTCGCCAAGACAGGCCCTATCTGAGTCACAGTAAACCTTAAAGGATTAAAATATACCACGTATGCTCTCTGACCATGGTGGAATTAAACTGGAAATCACTAAGGAAAATGAAAAGACGATGTATCAAAATATCTGGGATGAAGGTGAAATGGTACTTAGGGGACAGTTTATAGCATTAAGTGCTCATGTAGGGAAAGGAGCAAGGTCTCAGATCAATAATCCAGGCTTCGTTGTTAAGAACCTAGATAAAGACCCCGACTGGAGTGGCTCAGTTGGTTGGGCATCGCACCACCAAGCACCAAGCGAAGGATTATCAGAAGGGTGTTTCTCTCGCACGTGGATGTTTCTCTCCCGCTCTTTCTCCCCTCCCCTTGCTCTAAAAATAAATAGAATCTTCTTTTTTAAAGAAGTTACTCTTCCCCGCCCTTCCTCACACTCTGAACAATGCTCTTTTATTCTTCATCCCATTTGTTACCTTTAAGATCCACTAATGCCGGGAAAAGGGCACTGTTTCTAAGGCAGGAGTTTGAGGAGACGGTGATGAGCCCTGGTCCCCCTGTCCCTCAGGCAAGGTCCTGAGTCCAACGTGAGGCTGGCCTGCCCAGTACCCTCACCTGTTTTCCCAGGGAAACCCCACCTGGCCCGGTCTCCCCAGCCTCTGTCCCGGCCTCTAGGTCCGGAGTCCTTCAGCCAAAGCAAGCCCTCCCCCAGGGGTCCTCGCCACCGGGCCCCTGGGGCCCCTGAGCCCATGGAGGAGAACAGAGTGAAAGAGGTGACGCAGGGGGCACATCGCATGGCACAGGGTTCTACTGAATCGCTTTGGGCAACATTGAGAGTTTACATGGAACATTCGTAGGCAGCGCCTGGTCATTCAGAATGACCCAGCGGATCCCTCAGTATATGAGGTCGAATATAAATTTGGCTGTTGACAAAGAGACCCAGGATGGGTTAATCAAGTTAGAGGTGTGTGTCTCTCCCTCCTAACCGTACCGGTGTAAACGGTCCAGGGTTGAGGTGGTGGCTCCGAGGTTCAGAGACCCAGGTTACAGGACGGCTCCTTTCTGAGTCTTGGATCCTGTCACTCTCACCCCATTGGTCAGAATGGGGTCACATGACAGCACTCAACTACAAGGGAGACTGGGAAATGTAGTCCTTTATTCCGCACAACCCTGTGCGCAGCTTAAAAGGGGGTAAACAGATGTCGACAGGCAGAAGGCCCTACCTTACCTACTCGAGTTCACTTTTCCTAAACTCAGGCGGCCTTCAAAGCCCCCTTGCACGCCACCCCGACGAGGGCCCTCCTCATCAGGGACCCTGGAGGATATAAAGTTTGTCTCTGGATGTGACCTGGGCACTCTCACCATAGGATGTGCCCCAGGGAGGGCAGGCTGCAGGGACCCCACACCAGGAAGACAGCAGGGCAGGGGTCCACACCTCAATCCCCACCCCCGGTCCCTACCCCCGACTCATCTCTTTTTCTTCTCTGTGTGTCTTGTCCGTCCAGGGATGCCCGAGCTGAGCCCTGGGGAGTAACATTTAGGGAGATACTTTCTAACATGCAAATATAAGTTTGGGGTTAGGGAGGAGGGCAGGGGGACAGAGTGGAAGGCTCGCCGCCGTGGGGAGAAACAGAGCCACCCGAGGTTCACCTGTGCTGTCATACCCAGGGAGCAGCAGCCAGCCAGGGCCCCCCCAGCAGAGCAGGCAGCTCAGGCGAGTTGGGGTCTGGGCCTTCACTGAGCCTCACCCCCCAGTAATTGCTGGGGCAGCCTCGCCCAGGGCAAGAGACTACCCCAGCCCTGTGCCCACAGCAGAAGGGACTCTGCACCTCGTCTCCACCCTCTCAAGGATGGAGCGACAGCAAATGCCCACTCCGAGCTCACCGCGCGGGGGAATCAGGGCCTGACTCTCCCCGCCCCCCCATTCTGGGTCTTCCTAGAGAGAGGTGTCCCTGAAGGATCATTTAGTTTGAATGCCTCCTTCGACTGGAGTAGCGTGTGCATGCAAATTATTGCCAATCTCCACCTAGGGACAGTCCCTTACTATTTGAAATACCCTAGTCAGGAATCCACTCTCCAGAAGCGTTCGCATTAGATTTTAAATATACATTGTTATTAAAATCTACACCACAGAGTCTGTGTATGAGCAAAAGGATGTTAGAAATCATTGTGCACAAGAGAAGTATGAGGTGATCGAGACAAGTGATTGGCTAGAAGGAGTCCCCGGAGCTCAGAGTCCTCGCCCAACAGAGAAGAGAGCTTAGCCACCCGAGGCCTTCAGAGCAGCGCCCTGGGGCGGGGCCCCAGGGGTCCTGGCCCCCCACTCCTGGGGGGGGACAGATACAGGTGTATGACTGTGTTTGCACCTGCTCGCTAGTAAATATTTGGACATTTGGCAGAGTAAGATCTGCCTCTCGTCTTTTTTTTTTTGAAAGATAGGGGAAGGGAAGAAGAAAGAAAATGTAGAAACATCGGTGAAAGAGAAGCATCAGTTGGTTGCCTCTTCTACACCCCAGAGGACCAAACCTGCAACCCAGGCATGTGCCCTGAGCAGGAATCAGACTGGCGACCCTTTGCTTTGCGGCGTGATGCCCAACCCACTGAGCCACTCTGGTCAGGGCAAGATCTGCTTTTGTTGTAACATTTCATTTGGTGGCGCAGTTGCTGAGGGGGTTAATGGAGCCATTGCCTGCCTCTAAGTAGGGGTTCCACAATTTTAATCCTCACTCAAGGATATGCTTATTGATTTGAGAGAGCGAGGAGGAGAGAGAGAGAGGGAGAGAGAAACATCAACTGCCTCATATACGTGCCCTGACTGGGGATCGAACCTGAAGCCACCTGAGCCACCCAGCCATTTTTACCAGAAAACCCTGTCGGTGACAACACACGCCCCGCATCAGGTGGCAGAGCCTGGCTGGGAACCAGGTCTGATTCTGGAACCTGTGCCCCTAACCACTGTCCCACACTGCCCCCCCCCCCCATTGCCTTCCATTCACTCCCCGTGTCTCACTCAGCCCTGCCACGGCCAGGCAGGAGGCCGTGTCTGCGCCCCCTTTTCAGTGGCTGATTCGGCCCCAAGTGGAAGTTACGCTGGGCCCTGCAGCTTTGTCTCACAGCTGGAGTCGGTCTGACAATCCCTTTCACAAAACCAGCTCTGCAATGTGACCCATTTTCGCAGGGGGCGGTGGCTTGTTCTAATGCTGGCTGCTTGATCTCATCAACCTGTACGTTCACATGCCTCTCGAGAGCAGTAACATGTTTCTCACTGGCAGTCACGCACTGGAGGTGACATCGCCTTTATTGTTCTCTGGCAAGCTCCGGAAAGCGGGGACCATGCCTCCCCTGATCCCCCCCTCTCCAAGAACACCCCTGGGTATCAAACTCGGTTACTTGCACTTGGTTACTTGCCTGGTGAGGAAAGAGGAAACCTCACCAAGATCCCAGGTTCCAGGCCCTGGGGCAGCCATGGCAGAAGGCAGGCTCACAGCTGCCGAATCACAGGGTGTCGTTCTGAGAGCTCCCCCATCATCCCCAATGCACCCCTCCATGTAGTGAGTGACAAATCTCTGGGTTCTCAGTGCTTGGTCTACCACAGAGGCAAGTCACACGCAGGTGAACAGATGACTAGCCTGACTGGCCAAACGGAGACAGGACCCCTCTTTAGGACCCAGCTGGGTGTCCTGCAGTGCTGACAGCCCCCCAGGGTTCTCCGGTGTGGCCCCAGACAGTGGCGTCTGCAGCTCTGGTGGTGAGCTGGTGACGTGGGTCTGAACAAGCTTCCGGGTGACGCCAGCGCACTCGATCTCAGAACCACTGGGCTAGGCCGACTGTTTTCAACCTTTAGGAAAGCCCGTCTGAGGCCCCGGAGAGGTGAAACGGGCAGGCGCGGAGATGCTGGGCGGGGCCCAGGGGGAGCAGGGCTCACCCGGCTCCACGCCTGGCCTCCTGGGAACGCTCCCTGCAGGGCTCTGGTTGCACCATTGCCCCGAAGGCTGCCCCTCTCCACGCTACTTCTCTTGGGGAACCTGGGCGGACAACACCAAAAGCGAGAGAAAGGGTGTCACAGGAGGAAGGAGAGACCTAAGACGAAGTGAAAAAGGACAGAAACAGACAAAGCAAAGGCCCACACGAGGGAGGCAAGGACAAGTCAGGAGGCGAGTTTAATTGGTGCAACGTGGACACATACAGACGAGCATGGGGTGGCCTGGGCATGCTGCGTGGCACCTGTCCCCACCCTCGCCCCATCCCCCACCCCCGCCCCCACCCCGGGGCCCCGCCCTGCCCCTTCCCCAGAGACACACACCCGCAGATTCAGACAGGACAGCGCCCCAGGAGGAGGCTCAGAGCAGGCTGGGGTGGCAAACAGAAAGAAGACAAGCACACACCGGAAGCACTGCCTTGCTCCTTCGTTTGGGTAAGAGCTGTCCAAATGCGTCCAGAGTCGCCGGCTCCCGGTGGGGGCGCTGTGAGGATTCAGATCCCTGCGCCGGCCTTTCAGCTCTGCAAGGTGCTTTGGTGACTGCACTCACTTCTGCTCCACAGCGCCCCCATGAGGTGGGCTGAGCAGAAATTCTCACTTCTGTCTGAGGGATGGGGAAACTGAGTCTCATGGAGTTGAAGCGACTCGCCCAGAGTCTCGGGGAAAGCCCTGGTCACTGAGTCAGACCGGGAGCCTGTGGCCCTCCCTGGGGCCATGGCCCATTGCAGAGACTTAGGGGAAAGGACAGTGTCCGAGAGCCTGGGACCAGGGGGCCGCACTTGCCACAGTCCTGGGGAGTAGACAGAGCCTGAGCCTGCTAGATGCCAAGACAGAGATGGGACCAGCTGTTTATTGAACAAAAGCCTTTTATTCATTCAAAAATCAACCATTGGGTTTACTCTGCAGATATTTAAAAAAAAAAAAGTTGGGGGGGGGGCAAGGCTCCTTGTCAAAGTGTCCTTATGCTAATTCACTTGTTATCCCTGGGGCTCACCTGGAAGAGGGGTATCTGGAGAACACACTGTCAATAATGTGGGGCCGGAGGCCCAGGGCTTAGGGGTGATCACAGCCCCTTACTCACCTGCCCACCATCTGCAGCCTCCTGCCCCCTGGAACCACCTGGCCGGTTGGGGCCCCCCAAATGCCTTTGCAGCTCACCACCACCAGGGGGCGCGCCCACATTCTCTTGGATCCCTTAGAAACTGAAGCTGCGGTGGGAACAGGGTAACTCCCCATCAGGCACGGGGCTTTCTCTGGGGAGAGGCTGCCTCTCCCAGGGAAACTCCATACCCCAATTTCTCCCCCACACACAAAGAGACAATGTCCCAGAAAGCGCAGGTGCACCTGTAGTCTAGGTCATTGGCTGTCAAAAGCATTTCAGGGAAACAGAGGGACACAAATGTTTGCTTGACCTTATTCTCAGCCTTGCCTGGTTAAATACTGGGAACCCATGACGTTCTCCTAAGTACCATCACCACAAAGTGGGGGGCAGATGCTGCGAGGAAGAGGCCGGGCCAGCTGCCTGCGGCTGCACCCTGCATCCTGGGCCCAAGAACCCGGCTTCCTGCTGGTCTGGGGTCCCCAGAGAGCAGCATCTCATGGGGCTGGGCCTCGTGTGGAAAAGGGTGCTGGAGAGAGAGGCCCCCAGGCTGCTCTGGGTGTCACGGCGCCATAGCCGAGAGGTGGTGACAGAGCTGTCCCAGCCTGACAAACTCAGGCATAGATGGCCAGTGTCCAGCACGCTGCCAGGAAGAAGGGTGGCCCTTTGGGCAGCTCTGAGCCATCTCAGCATGTACCCAAGGCATGCCTGAGGTGTGGGTCCACAGTGCCACCGGCTAAGGCCAAAAGGCATACCCCTGGCTCCAAACCAAAAGGCCAAACCACCTCCCAGAAGGTGGGAGGAAGGCCCTGCCTGTCTGCCAATCAACTGATGCCTTGGCCTGAGGGGTCCACACACGCTTAATTAGCCGTGGAGAAAGCTCAGCCGCAGTCCCTCTCCTGTGATGCCCCGGGACAGGCTGTACATCAGCATCCCCTCTGCTGGACCCGAGCAGCGGCCGAGGCTTAGGCAGAGGCCGGAAAGCCATCTGACCTGGGAAGGGCCCCTCTCTCCTCCCATCTGACCCCAAGTGGCCAAGTCTGTAGGGTCTCTGGTCAGAGCCAGATGAAGAAACTGCACAACTTGGAGTTGAGTCCTGGGCCTCCTGGGCCAGTGGCCTGAGCAGAAAGGTGACCGCAGGGGCTATGAGAGCCCAGCCTTCAAAGTCACCTGTGAACTTGGACCTGCTGCTCCTGTCCCCAGAGGATCTGGGGGGCTTAGGATGGGGGCGTCATGCAGCCAAAGGGCCTGCACATGTAAAAAGGGTGGGCGCTGGGGTCAGGGGTGCAGCCCCACCAGCAGATACCTCTCTCAAAGGGCTTCCTCTGGGGAGGGTCCGTTGTCTGAGGGTTAATCAGCAGGAGGAGCGCTGGCCTCCTGGGAGAGTGCAAAGTGGAGACCAAGGGCAATTCGAAATAGGAGCCGAGGCTCAGCGCTGCCAGCTCCGGGGCTGGGAGGAGCAGAGAGGTGACAGGCTGCTGGCTTTGCAAAGTCACTGCAGGAATTCTAGCCTCAGGCCCAAAATAGTCTGGGGGCTGCTTATCACCCCAGCTGCCTCCTCTGGGCAAGGACCAGTTCTGGGCCAAAAAGACAGCTCAAGAGTCCAGGAAAGACCGGGAAGCACTGCAGAGAGGGACAGGGTGTGTCATCTGACCCTACACATCACAACCAGTGGCTGCCATGTCCTCGAAGACTTGTGCCAAGAGACAGAACAGTGACTCAGATGGTCCCCTTGTCTGCTGGGGTCTGGCACACACAGCCACAGACCACCGAATCGCTACATGCAGGAAACTCAGACTTGGAATTTTATGACGTCTGCATGGAGGGGGCTTTCCACATCAATGAGCTAGGCCTCCCAGCTCCGCCACGGGGCAGCTGGGGCCCGGAGAGGGCAGGGGTGGCCCACCAACTCAGAACCAAGCCAGCCTCGGGCTCCCAGCCTGTCGTCCACAGTTGTCTGACTTTCCTGCTGGCAGTTCTAGGGCAGCCCTTTTCTGGGGACAAAGCTGAAAACCTTCTTAGGAGCACAGGTGGGACATAGTCTGGAGGAGCGGCTGCCACCTGGACGGGAGGACCGGCACCCTTCTCTGCCCTCCCTGCCAGCGTGTGGGCCAGGCAGACAGGCAGACAGGCCAGCAGAGAGGGAGAGACTAATTTCCAAACCCACCGGGTCTTCGCGAGCTCACTTCCTCACTCTGTCCTTTGTGCCCGCCCCCTTCCTGGCTCCTGGTCCCAGGACAAACCCCTCCATTCCCCACGCTGCCACAAACATCAAAGCAAGAGCCGAGACGGGAAGATGTGCCCTGTGCGTCCTCAGGAAAGATGTTGTGGACCCAGAAGAAGACCCAGGACGGGCAGGGTGTGGACAGGGAGCAGAGGAGAAGGATGGAAGGAGGGGCATTCTAGCTGGAGGGAACAGTGCATCGGCCAGTTAAGAAGCCCACCTTTCCCTTCTCCAAACATCAAGCACAGTATGGGGGGGGGCGGAGTTTTTGGCTTTTTGGCCGCTGCTGGCCACCATCGTCCCAGGCCTGTGGGCAGGCGGGTGAGCACGCATGTAGACAGACGGTGGACCCCGTATCCCGGGAGCTTCGGACACAGAGGCAGCAGCAACAGTTAACGACCAATAAATAACAGGTATCAGTTATATATATATATAAAAAAAAAAAACAAAGTTCACTTTCCCCACAAAAACACAATACTGTTATCAGAGAAAATCGTCATCATCATCACGATCGACCCTCCGGGCTGCGCAGGTGGTCAGTGGCTCCAAAGCAGGTCGACAAGTAACATCCACCAGGCAGCCCCCCGACACGTGAGCCCACCCAAGGCCAGGCCGTGACTTCTGTGGCTTCTCTGGTGGCCTCCAGAGTTCTCTGAGGTCCCCGAGGCCTTCTCCCCATCTGTCAGTCTGAATCTTCTAGAATAGAAGGTCGTGGTTTTTTTTTTTTTAATGTCTGTTTGAAATTAAAAAACAAAAGCACACGCGCGGGAGAGCAGACTCGGCTGCTGCCCACGAAGCAGCTGAGTCTTCGGTTTTGCAGAGGGCTGGAGCCTTTTCCGTTTCGTGTTGTTTTCTGGATAAGCAGAGGTCGTTGGCAATTGGAGCCAGTGGCTTCAGGCCGCGGGTGGGTGCAGGGCAGGGGGCGGAGGGGCCTCGCCGTCTGAGGCAGCCCGGCTGGGTGTGGGCGCGGAGAAAGGCTGGGTGGACACGGGAGGGCGGTGTCGGGGCCGGGGCCGAGGCGGCCTCGCGGCACGGGAGGACGCTAGCGGTTCCCAGGCATCTGGAAGACACAAGGAGGCGAGGCAGGCTCGGTGCGGGCTCACAAGGGTGGGCGCACACAGAGCGGCGGGAGAGCACCAAGGAGGCGCGCTGGCCTGAAGTCGGAGGTCCTAGCACTGCGCACACCCTCCAACCCACCCATTTGGCGGCGCTTAGTATTGATCCTTTGGAAGCACCTGCAGTGTTTCCTACGGTCTGGTCTGCAACAGCGAGATGAAAAGCAGGGAGCAAGCCCAGAGCACGGGGTGGTTGAAAGAGGACATCGCCACAGGACGAAACAGACTGCAGCCACTAAGAACAAGCTGTGGAATGGCCGAGAAGCACGTGAGAAGGTGTCCAACAGAACTGTTCCGAGGGAATGCAAATGGAAACCGCGGTGAGACTCCACATCCCGCCCACCAGGGGGGGCTGTCGTCAGAAACAGGAAAAACACAAGTGCGGGCAAGGCTGGGGGAAGGCAGAACCGTGCCCGTCGCTGCTGGGCGCGGAGAAGAAGCTGCAGCCACCGGTGAGGACGGTAGTATGGCAGCCCCGCAGAAAGTTAAACAGAGCTGGGTCCCGTGCGACCCAGCACCTCCACCCCGCAGCATCCACCCAAAGGAACTGAAAATAGGGCCTCAGACAAATCCGTGCTACCCATCTTCCCAGCAGCGTGTGCACAGCGGCCGGAAGGCGGGAGCGGCCCAATGCCCACCCGAGGGTGACGGATGAAAGCGTCGAGGCCCGTCTGCACACGGAATATCACTCAGCGCAGAAATGCGTGAAGCACCGGCACCCGCGCCGCATGAAGAACCTCGGGAACATCACGCTGAGTGAAAAGAGCCAGACCCCAAGTGGGCTTTTTATATGAAATTTCCAGAAGAGGCAAATCTACAGAGACAGGAAGCAGATTAGCACTTGCCAAGGGCCCAGGGGGCGGGGGGATGGGGAGAAACGGCGTCACGGGTGGGCCCTGTGCTGCAGCAACGCAAACATTTTAGAACTGGCCTGGGCGGCGCTTGCACAGCCTGGGGAGTGTGCTCAGTTGTCCTCTTTAAGATGGTTATTTTCTGAGGTTACTTAATTAGGATTAAAAGGCTGTGATGGGATTATATAATTTCTGCTATTTCTGTAAACTCTTTGTAACGTCTTCTAAAATTATTTTTATGTTTTTACTTTTATTTTTTAATTGTATTTTTTTCTCTGACCATTTATCCCTCCAGACCCTCTCCCACCTCTACCCACGTCCCTCTAAAATGGTTACTTTTATGTCGTGGGCATTTCACCTCAATAAATTAAGAAAAAGGAAGCAAGGGGGGGCAGTCTGTTAGCGTCTGCACTACCTACAGGCCCTCCCCGTAACCTGCTCCACACCCACGTCAAATTTCCTATCGCTGTCCCCTCCCCCACCGGGCAGGTGTCAGGGTCTGACCCGAAGCCGGCCACTCTCCTGACTTACAGGAGCTGACCTGACAGCAGTCTCTGGGCCAGTCGGGAGCCATGTGGCCCAGGGAGGTGGCCCTGGGTGGGGGGGTGGTCAGAAGGCCCCGCAGGACCCAAGTCCAGGCTCAGGGGCAACAGGTGAGAGAGGTTGGGAGCAGCTGCCTGGAGGAAGCACAGAGGACCCTAGGGTGCGGCCTGAGGCCTCGTGCAGGCTTCCAGCGCCCCCTGCCGACCCCTGGCGGCGTGGCTGAGTTTCCAGCCACATTTTCACCCGCGCTGTGATCTGTGAGCCTAGGAGAGGTTTCATTGTATCTGCTGGTGAAAACCACACACAGGACGAAGTTCGGTGAATGCATTTAAATCCAGAATATACATATATATTTTTAAATTTCACTGGCCACCTCTAAAGGATGTTAGAAATCCAACTCATTTGGAAAACCAATAAAGAGAAAGAATCAAGAATGCCTCCTGCCTTTCCAATTAAAGACTAAGACTCAGGGTTAGCAAAGAGTTAATACGGGGAAGTTTGCCTTTGTAGGAGCAATGCTGCTAGCGAGGAGGAAGGAAAGGCAGCACAGGGCGTCGCCATTTTGAATCCCCTGTGAATGAATGAATGGCTGAATGGCTGAATGGATGGATGGCAGAGAAGACCATCAGTGGTGCCACCTAGTGGACACACACGACCGCACCCACGCGGTGTTCTCGCCACAAATGGATCACACTGAATGCCCAGCAAGCTTGTAGGTCTAGCAGCCCATTTCCAGGAAGAACAGGGAACGGAGGATCGGGGTTAACACCACCACGGGGAGGAATTGGCAAACCCCACGCCGCAGAAACTTGACAGGACGTGTTTCTGGGCAAAATAGAAAAAAAAAAAAAAAAAGAAAGGGAACAACTTATCAATTAAAATAAACTTAAGAGACCTATCCACCAAATGCACCATGTGGACTTCATTCAGATTCTGATTCCAATAAATAAAGTGAAAAAAATGGGGAGATAACAAGAAACTGGAATACCAGCCCGAGACTGCAAAATATTAACGAATTAACATTGATTTTTTTTGTATTATAAATTGTTTCAAGAATCGTTCTTTTAGAACACATTTGGAAATATTTATGTATGAAATAATATGATGTCTCGAATTTGCTTCAAAGTATCCAGCGTGGGGGTTTGTGTGGGAGAGCAGTGATGGCACAAGATTGGCTGTGAGCTGGTGGTTCTGAAGCCGGGTGATGGGTACACGGTGTTACACTATTCTCTCTACCACTGTGTGTGAAAGCTTCCAGAATAAAGCAGTTTTTTAATCCACCCCCAAAGTTTCCACAACCTAAGGGTGCCACACCACGGGACTGGTTCAAATGGTGCAGCTAATTTATAATGCAGCTATTACATACACAGCTATTAAAAATGAGGGTCTCAAACAACATTTCCCCATGTGGGAAATACGCATGATCTCAGTTCCTGAATAATTCAGTGAATTCTATAACGGTAATTTATCCAGGAATTATGAGACATCAGGAATCTCAGGAGGCAAATAAATCACAAAGATGATAGAATGCAAATTAGATGTAATTACTATCTAGTAGGTTCTGGAGAAGCCTTCGGAAAAGGGGAGGGCGGTGGGGAAGAGCTATAGAAAGCCGGGTCTTGTCACTCTGAAAAGCTCGTCATGGCAATGGAGTTACACCTGCTTGGTTGACTTGTTGCTGGTGAGGGTAAGACACATGTCTACACAAACTGTGTTGACTCTAAAGTTTATACAGAGATGCAGGTGGCTGAAAGCAGCCAAGGCATTCTTGAAAGGAAGTGGTGGACGTCACCTCCAAGATTAGGTTATGAAAAGACTGCGGCTTTCATCTTGGGTTCTCTCTCTCCCTCCCTCCTGGGACGCTCACCCTGAGAGAGGCCACCAAGCCAGGGCTGCCCTGTGCCACGGTCCACAGGGCGAGGGGCTGAGATAGCCAAAACGAATGAGGGAGTAAGGGAGTGGGTCAGCCCAGCCAAGCCTTCAGCTCAAACTGCATCCCTGGCCACAGCTGATGCTCAACCCAGTTTACCTGAGACTGGGGGGCTTCCCAGGGCAGGGGACTTTCAGTGCTGAATCTGGGAGCATCCTAACCGGGCTGGTTGGTCACCCTAACAATGGCTTGATGGCGTCCTCGAAAGGAACCCTGAGCCAAGGCACGCAGCTGAGTGTGCCCGAATCCCTGATGTTTGCTCTTCAGCTGCTGATCTGAGGCCACGCAGCAACAGGTGACTGACATGGCACTTCCCTAAAGGGAACGTTAAGACGGACAACGTCCCTAGGACAGGTGCCCAACTTCCATGCTCATCAGAGAAATACAAATTAAAATTACACCCACCAAAACCGCTAAAGCCGAAGAGATACAGAATGTGCGGTGTCGGCGAGGTTGCGGAATGACCAGAACTCGTGCACTCCGCTAGCAGGAGTGTGGCATCGTCCAGACGCCTTGGAAAACTCTTTGCTCACGTCTACTCAAGCTCAGTGAACACACACCCCGTGTCCTGCTCTTAGAGAAATTCCAGGAGAACGCCCCTTCTGTCCACAGAAGATGTGTGCCGGAGAGTTCACGGCTGGGCAGAACCTCGGGGGGTCCTCCACTCCCTCCTCCAGGCCAACAGGGGGCACATACGGGGAAAGCCAGGGCGGACACAGGAGAGGACGAGGAGGAAATGAGAAAGACAGGTCTCCGCCGGCAGCAGAGGCCCCAGTGGGCACGCTGTCATTCTCCACCTACTACCAATCTGACCACATGAAACAAGAAACCACAGCTGAGCTACGGATCAAGAGAGCCGGGGGCTCGCCCGGCCCCGGGAGAAGGGATGAAAAACGGCAGCTCTCCCTGGCCCGTCCTGGCCGAGAACCGAGTGTCTGAGCAGGTGCAACCCAGAAAAACTCTTCAAGCAAACCTTCGGGATGAAACTGGGTACATCAAAGGGACAAAGCAGGGGGGCTCTGGCTGATCTGAAGGCCCTGCCTCCACCAGCTGTGCCCACCTGGGCAGACCCCAAGCTGGGTGAGTACTTATCTGCCAGCTGTAGGTGTCCTGTGGCTGGGGTCCCTCCCTGCCCCTGCTCCCAGCCCCGGGTGCCCCTGGGCTCACCCCAGCTCTGGACCTGGACTATACCAGCCCGTCGTAGAGGGACAGCGCCTGGACGATGGAGGGGTCCGCCTTGGACCCCTCCTGGAACTCCTGCAGCGTCAGCTTCCCGTCGGCGTTCTGCAGGCAGAGAGAGGTGGCGTCAGGCAGAGGGACAAACGGCTTCCTAGGACAGGCGTCTGGCCTGGACCCTGGCCCAGGGCGGGTCCCAAGAGCGCCTCCAAAGTCGGGTCAGGAGCAAGGTGGCACCACTAGGTCGGAAGGGTCGGGCATCACACAGGCCAGGCACTTCCTGGCTGGCTGACCTGGGCATGCGACCCCCCTCCGAGGGTCTGTTTCCTGGTCTGGGGACTGGAGATGACCGCATGGCCTCCTGAGGGCATGGGGGTAGGTGCTCCATGAGCTGGAGCTGTGTAAAGTGCATGGGAGGCGCCCCACGACCCCACAGTTGTCCTTGTCACCGCCGTGATTCCCTAAAGGGTGGGTGACCCCAGTGCTCAGAGGCTCAGCATCTCTCTGGGTCACTTCTCAGAGGGCACGTAAGCGGTTCCAGGAGCCGCTGCCCGAGGCCTGGGAGGAGGCCGGCGGGGTTCGTGGCAAGAGCCATCGGTGGGGCTCCTGGGGGAGGGGTTGGTCTGAGCCAGAATCTCTTCCCTTGGGGCATTTCTCCCGAAGGGAAGACCTTAATGGAGACCCATAAGTGTGGAGAAAAAGTCTCGGAGACCACCTGCCCCCAGGGGGGAAGCACGCTGAGGGGTCCCCCAGCACAGGTCATGCTCTCGGCTCACCCACCTCATGCCCATGTGTGCTGGGCGCACCCACTGATCTCCTGGGATCCTCGTGCCCACCCCAAGAAGAGTGCTGCTCTGATCCCCATTTTACTGGTGAGGAAACTCAGGCTCAGTCACCGACCCAGGGTCCCACGGCCAGTGACCAGGGAGGCCAGAATGAACAGCCAGTCTAGCTCCAGGGTGGGCTTGGTTTCCCTAGTAAGGGAAGCATGAATTGGGAGATTTAAGGAGCGTGGGGCCTTGGCATTAAACCACATGGAACCCTGGCTGGCGCGGCTCAGTGGGTGGAGCACCGGCCTGCAGACCAAAAGGTGGCAGGTTCGATTCCCAGCCGGGGCATGTGCCTGGGTTGTGGCCCAGGCTCCCCAGAGACAACTGATCGATCTCCCTTCTCCTGGCTCTAAAAAGTAAATAAGTAAAATCTTTAAAAAAATAAAATACCATAAACCACATGGAACCACCTGTGGAAAAGCGGTTTTTCCTCGCTCTGCACTCTGGACACGGCTTTCGAAGACGACCAGGAGACCAGTGTCGCCTGACCCACAGGGCAGCGTGCCCCGCAGACTGGGGCCACTCCCCTCCTCGGACGGAGGAAGGGCCGGCCTCGGGCCCAAGCTCTCAGGGCCAGGCCCGTGTCCGGCCTGCGCGCAGCCGCAATCACCGAACTAAGCCCCGTGCGGCTGTGATGTGGTCTTCTATTTAAGGCCAGCTGCGTGGGGGTTCTCACCACCCAATGCCAGAGTCCCATTTTGAAAAAGGAGTTTAAAAAAAAAGTTTACTAGAAGGATCTCTCAATCTGGGGCCTGTGGATGGAATTCAGCAGGTCTGTGACCTCAGAACCTCTAACTGGAGTCCAGCGTGTCCTCCCCCGAGGAACCTGGGGGACGGTCCCCAGCAGGACTGGCGGTACCTGGGACTTTGTCAACCGTGGAGACCACGGGCACGTTCAAAACCCATCCCAGCCGCTGCCGGCGTCACACACGTGTATCTCCCAAACACGGGGTGGCTCGAGCCAGGGCTACAGGTTACATTCACTTAGTTGTAGATAGTTAACATTTTTTTACTTACTGATTTTAGAGAGAGACAGGAAGGGAGAGAGAGAGACATGGACTTGCTGTTCCACTCACTGATGCTCTCAATGGTTGATTCTCACACATGCCCTGACTGGGGACGGAACCCAGAACCTCGGCGTCTGGGGACCACACTCCAACCAACTGCGCTACCCGGCCGGTGCTACGGCTTATTACTTAATGTGTTCATAAAGAGGCTTCTGTAACATTACATCACATTCTTTATAAAAAGTATGTTGATAGCTGTATTCCAAAATAGTTGGCTTCCTTTGCGATTCTATGGATTTATATCTATTTGATGCACTTAAAACCATTATTCTAAGCAGTCCCTAGGCTTCTCCAGAATGCCAAAGGGCCCATGGCAAAAAATAAAAATGGCTGGTGTGGCTCAGGGGACTGAGCGCCAGCCTGAGAACCAAAAGGTTGCCAGTTCAATTCCCAGTCAGGGCACATGCCTGGGTTGCGGGGCCAGGTCCCCAAAGGGAGTGGCGTGCAAGAGGCAATCAACTGATGTTTCTCTTGCACATTGATGTTTCTCTCCCTCTCTTCCCCTCTCACTGAAAATACATAAATAAAATTTTTATTAAAAAGTGGTGAAAAAAATCTTAGTTGATAAAAGAAAAAGTGATGGGTGGACTTACTTAAAACTGGATGTTTGGTTGGGGTGGCCGCCAAGCAGACCAGCGAGCATCTCACCAGGCCATGCCACCTGCCTGAGCCAGGACCGCAGGCGATCAGTGGCCCCTGGGGGGCGCGCCCCCACTCCCCGTGCGCTGGGGTGCGGGGCCCAGCCTCCCCACGAGCTCACCTTGTCCATCATGGCGAAGATCCGGTCCACCCTCTTCTCGGGGGTGTTCTCCTCCTCCGGCAGCTCCACGGTGTTCCCCTGCCGGGACAGACGCAGTGGGGGCTGGGCTCCTCGCACATGGGCTTTGGGGTTGGGCCGCATATTTGCCCCCCTGACCTGGGCTGCTTCCAGACAAGGACTGTCCCTCCCAGTGCCGCCACCATCTCTGCCGTCTGCTCTGGAACGTCCCACCCACTATCACCCACGCAGCCCCACGATCACCAGCCCCCACCTCCCTCCGACAAGGAGATGAGCAGAGTGACCCCGGACAGTGACCCTGGCCTGGCCAACTCTTGCCCCAGACGGGGCAGCAGCTGGGTGGTTCCTCCAGGCCAGGCCGAGTCACTGAGTGGCTGCCCCGCCCCCGTCCACCGCCCGGAGACCCGGTCCTCTCACCACCATCTGGTAAATGGCGTCCACAATGTCCAGCATCTCGTTCCTGGTGATGTAGCCGTCATTGTCCAAGTCATAGAGCTTGAAGGCCCCTGCGGTCAACCAGCCAGGGCGGGGTCACCCGGGCCCAGGACAGCGGAGCTCTGCTGCCCTCCGCACCCCAACATGCTGCCAGGACCCACAGCCCATCACTCATCCGGCCAATGCATATTTACACAGGGATAGACAGGGACACACACGTACCCCTTCAACTGGGACTGTGAGGAAAGAGGCTGAGAGTAAAGAGGAGGGGGCGCCCTGGCCGCTGCGGCTCCGTGGGTTGCAACATCACCCGCTACACTGAAAGGTCGCGAGTTTGATTCCCGGTCAGGGCACACGCCTGGGTTGCGGGCTCGGTCCCTGCTCCGTGCACAGAGCAAAGGCCACTCATTGATGTTTCTCTCCCTTCCTCCCCCCTCTCTAAAATCAATGGGCATGTCCTCGGGTGACAATTAAAAAATAATAATAATAAAAACTTGACAATTAAACAAAAGACGGGCAATGGCGAGCCCGAGGCCTCAGAGGCTGGGGCTGGGAGGCGGGAGTTGGCCCTGGGCAAACTGGTGCTGCCCCCCATCCTCCACCCTACCCCGTCCCCAGCCTCTGCCCCCCCCCCCGCCACTTACACGGTGTCCCCAGGGCCAACCTAGAGAATAAAACACGCCCAGGGAACAAGGGAGCTTTTGCCTGAATGAAGTCCTCTTTTATTCAAAGAAGGAAAGGAAGAGAAAGGAGGAGGAGGGAGAAGGAAACCGCAGGGCTTCCCCGCTGACCCTGCACAGAGCACGCGGCTGAGTGGCGAGCTCCGCCCCGCTGCTCTCCTCTGGTCTCCAGCTTCCCGCCCCTCGTGGCTCCACCCCAGCGTGGGCTGCACACCCTGCCCTCTGCACCCTCCTCCTCTGGGCCTCGCCCAGGCAGGTGGTCCCCCTGCCCGGGCCCCCCACCCACCCCGCTCGGCTCTGACTCACTGCAGGGTCAGCTCCCCTCTTGTCATCTCGCACCTCCCTCTTCCTGTCTCGGTTTCATGGGATTTAAAAACCTCATGTCCCCCTGCCAGACTGATGGTTGTGGGAGCGGGTGCCCGTCTGTCTGACCCCCCAACCCCTGGCCTCTGCCCAGCACGGACACGGGCCGTTTGGTCGCAATCTGCTGGGTGAACAAGCGAATAAGAGAATGAACGAGGTTGGTCATTAGAACCTCGGCCTCCTGAGGGGGTCCAGCACTGGGGCTGGGTCTTCAGCCCCATGTCTGTGCCTCCCTGGGCGTCCCCAGGTCCCTGCCCCACCTGTACACCCCACCTAAGTAAGCCATGCTCCTGCCGCAGGCCACCTGCGGAAACCGTCCTCTGACCTGAAAAAGCAGAACGTCTGGGCCACTCCCTCAGCCCCGGACAGATGGCCTGGCCCAGCTCCCCGGCCTCCCCCGGCCGGGACCGCCTGGTGGCTGCACGATAGAGCCCAGGGGACCCACTTACATCGCAGCTTCTCGTCCAGGGTCCCCCTCGAGGTCACCGACAGGGCCTGGATGAACTCGGAGAACTCGATCCGCCCATCCTGGCAGGAGAGAGGGGGCGGGGCGGCCTTCGTCAGCCGGGCCACCTGGTCAGGCCAGACCCTGGCAGGTGGTGGCAGCAGCAGCAGCAAGGACCAGGTACCCTGGCAGACAGACACCCACGTGGAGAGGGCAGAGTGGAGGAATGAGGGACAGAACCAGGAGCGGGGGGGAGGGCACAGGATTAGAAATGGGAGAGATCGGGCAGCAGGGGCAGGGAGAAAGGTCACACACACTACAGGGACAGCCCAAAGCCACATCTCCTGGGAGAGCCCGGGGGCCACCAACACACGCACCGTCTCTGGGCAAGAGCCACTGGGGAGTCCCCTGTCCCCCTGGTCTAGAACCGCAGGCTCGGAGGCTCTCGGAGAGGACAGGGCATTTTGGTTAAATCCTACCTATTGGTTTCGCAAATGAGGAAACTGAGGCCCAGAGAGGACAGAGCTCTCCCCAGGGCCAGACGGGACTGTCAATTCGGAGTCACCTGGGGAGAAAGCCAGGGCAGGGCAGCAGAAGCAGGCAGCAGAAGCAACCCGAGTGCCCAAGAGCAGGGAGTGTGGGAGCAGGGCACGGTGACTCCGCCGTGCACACACGGGCACCGGGAAAATGCTGGCATGGGACCCGGTCCAGAGGACTGTGGACGCCTCAGAAGTGGATGTGCCATCTGCCGGCATGGCCACCGCCGGGAGGGGACACACCACATCACAGACGAGCCTTAAAAACCTGACGCTCGGTGAAAGACGCCGGGCCCAAAACGCCCCATATGGTCTGACTCCCAGAACCCAAGTTCTCTCATCTGCCAAATGGGGGTGTTACAATGCTGTACCCCCCCGGGTTGTAAGTCCTCACTAAAAATAATCCTCATAAAGGGCTCAGCACACTGTAAATGCTCAGCAAATGTCTGTTCTGGTTATAAATCCCATCACTGGCCCTGGAGGCATTTGCATTTGGTGCTAGTAAGAAAAATATCAAGGTATACATGTGTGTACATGTGCGTGCATGTGCACATGTGTACACACCAGATAGGTGTGTGTGCACATACTCTACATGGTATGGGGGGCTTTGCATGTTGTTTATATGTACATGCATTTGTGTGTACTGCAGCGCACGAGTGTTCAGGTATGTGCATTCGCAGGATGGTGGGTGTGGGTGTTTGTGTGTGCACACATGTGGGTGTGAATGCATGTGTGTGCCGTGCGCATGCACATGTTCTTGTGTCTCTGCGTGTGCAGCTGAGTGTGCACACGGCGTGCCCCTCCTCCCGGAGGGAGCGCTGGCAGGAAGGAGTGGGTGAGCAGACGCCGCGGGAGCCGTGGGCGCGAGCGGGCTGCCGCAGGAGGGGGGCGCTCCGCGGCGCAGGCCCCTCCAGCCCCTGCTCACCTTGTTTTCGTCAAAGACGTTGAAAACAAACGTGGCGAATTTGGTGGGGTCTCCAAACGGGAAGAACTGCTTGTAGATCTTCTGGAAGCCCGCCGCATCCAGCTGCCCGCTGGGGCAGTCCTTGATGAAGCCCTTGTACCTGAGGCAGCAGACCAGGCGCGTGAGGGTGAGAGTCGCGCCCATCACCCCCCTGCCAGGAGCTCCTGCCCGTGCCCCGAAGGCTGTGGGTCCCTGTCCCAGGAGACAGTGGCGCACGGGGTCCTGCGCACAGGCCTGAACGTCACAGGCATGGGCTCATCCCACCTCTGCCCCTCGCTAGCTGTGTGACCTGAGGCAGGTGACCACACCTCTCTGAGCCTCATTTGTACAAGGGCTAAGAGTCGCATGAAAATTAACCCAGAGAGTGTGCACAGAGCAGGTGGCCACTGAGCCTGAGCTCCACAGAGGGGGCTAAAACCAAATTCACAAGGACGGCCCCAAAGCCACACTCTGGCAGGAAGCACTTCTGCCCTACCCCCTGTACTCTCACCACTGAGCCCCTCCTGGCCCACAGAACCAGGTGGCTGAAGAGGCTGGCAGAGCTGGTGGACAGAGCCACCATATGGGGCTGGCAGCTGGCTCCTTCCACATGCCTGCCCCCCAGTACACACCCTCTCGCCTCTGTTTCCAAGCACCGTCTAACACTGGAGCAGCGGTATGAGCTTGGAGGGAACCTGGTTTGTCCCGAGCAGACCTGTCCACCGTGTATTCCCAGCAGTGGCACAGAACCCCCCCCAGATACCCGATGGGCGGCCACGTGGCTTTGCAGCCTGGGTCCCAGGTCTGCCATGGGTGAGCTGTGCCACCTCAGGTGAGTGTCCTCACCCCTCTGAGCCTCCCTCGGTCTCCTCATCCATAAACAGGGCCAGCTCCCACACTCCTCTGCCGGGATCGGGATGGCGCACGCAACACACCTGGCACAAGGAGCCATCAACAGCAGGATCTCCGGTTTTATGCACTTAAGGGACACGCACTCCTCTCGGGAGGACCAGCCACTACTGGCTACACAGGGGGACCCTGTGCCAGCAACTCCTCAAACCACGGTCTCCTGGAATGATGTCCTGCGGGCCCGTGAATCAGGGGCTCCGACACAGCCCACTGTAAGGATGCCACCGAGGCTCCGAGAGGGCGGGTATGAGTCCGCGCAGCCCCGACCAGAGCGGAGTGACGGCCAAAGGTGACGAGCCAGATGCTCTGAGACACCAGGCCGCTGAAGACACCTGTCCCACCGTTCCCCGCCACCACCTGTGTGGAGATTCCTCTCTCCCCTCTCAGGTGCAAGGAGAGGGTTCTGGGAGCATTGTGCTGGAGGCTGCTGGTGGCACCATGACTGGGGTCCACAGACCAAGGAAGCTGTGGGAAAGCCAAGGCTCCCCGACCTATTAGAGGACAATGTAGGGGTCTGGGGTGGGCACTGGTCACACAGGGACCCGCAGGGGCGTGCAGGGCACAGGAGGAGCCTTGGGATTGCAGCCTAGCGACGGCCGTCGGATTTCTGGCTAACACGTCAGCTGCTCACAGGGGTGGAGGGGACTGGGGTGGGGAGAGGCTGGGAGAGCAGAGCTGGGGTGGGGGTGGGGCATCCTTCCCGGGCCGCAGCCAGAGCAGGCGCAACGCTGTCCCGACAGCACCCAGCGGAACTGTGAGGTCATGAAAGAGGCCGGGTCTGCCCGCCAGTCCCCCCATGGGACCCCTTGAGGGGCCAGAGGCCCAGGAAGGCAGTGCCGCCTCCAGAACCAGGGTCACGGACAGCTCTCACCCTGGTGACCGCAGGCTCGGGCGGCACCGGGCTACACCGTGGAGCGTGGTCCCGTGTGCTGCCGCCTCCTCAGCCCTGCGCCGTGGGGTTGAGATCCTGAGCCCTGGGTGAAAGCACCGAGGCGCAGCAGGCTCCGGGAGGGGACCACCCCTCGTGTCCCTCCCCTCCCAGCCTTCTTCCCAGCTGTGTGTTCAGGGCTAGAATCTGCACCTGGGCCAGGCCGCGGAGCTGGGAGAAAGAGCGATTCGGGAACCAGACCTGATCCAGGGCCCAGGGCCTCCGGGCCAGGATGGGTCTCTGGGCAGGAGGAGGGGGCGAGTCTGGCCCCAGGCCTGGATGAGCCATTTGGGGGGCACCTTCCACTGTCCCCACATGGCTCCAGATGCCAGGATAGGGGCCATCTTCTCCCCCCAGGTCCTCATTTCTCCACAATAGATGTGTGTTACTGAGTGATTCTAAAAGATCATTTACAACAATAAAGAGAAAAGGAAAGGCCCCCAAAGGCGTGTCCCATCTCCCCTGGGAAGGGGAGCTTCCCACCAGCGCTGTGAGCAGCTGTGGTGGGGCCGCAGGGGTCCCTAGAGCGTCCGTGGGTGTGGGCAGGTGCAGGGAGGCGGCCCCCGGGAAGGAGTCTTCAGGGGAGCCTCTGGTTATCCCTGCAGAGGCTGCCACCGTCCCTGTGGGGCCCCAGACCTCTCTGGTGACATTAGTAGGGGCCCCAGGAAGCCCACCCCCACGGGCAGTGCCCATCAGGGGTGGCCCCAGTCTCTTCTTTCCAACCGCTCCCATGTTCCACACCCAGCCACACTCTCCAGAACTTGTCATGTGGCGGCCAGCCCCCAAGACCTTTGTGCTTGCAGGTCATTCTGCCTGCAGAACACACTTCCTCCTCTTAATCGGGCTCATCCACTCAGCCACCAAGTTCCAGCTTAGATGTCGCTTCCTCCAGGAAGGCACCCCAGGCTGCCCAGGGGCCACGTGGCTCCTCCGCCCCCACGCCCCTGGTACGTGCCCAGCAGGGTACACACACCTCCAGGCTGTGTCCCCCACCTGAACATGAGCTCTCTGACACGGCAGAGTCCCGACCTTGGGATGGGGTCTGGCACATAACAGGGGCTTGGCGAGTGTCCAGTGAGATAGGCAAATGGGATGGACAGATAGATGAATGGACAGATGAATGCACAAACGGCCAGTGAGAGAACTCTGGGGCCGGGGCTGCTGCATCTTCTTCCTCAGCCCTGGGGCTCCTGGCCAGAAGGGAGAACTCCCTGAGGACGGTCTGACAACCATGTGCTCCCCACTCCACGAATTGAGGGGGAGCTGCGAGCCCAGAGAGGGAGACAGGCTGGCCCAAGGTCACAGAGCAAGTCAGCAGCGGAATCAGCGCAGACCCCAGGCTCCCGCCTCCCAGGCTCGCACGCCGCCTGCCCCTCTGGGAGCCCGGCTGCACCGCCCCGGGGGCCAACACATGGGCGAAGTGCCTGCTGCCCTGACATTGCAGGGCCCCACTGCTCATCATCAGAAATGGGGACACCCTGACTCGCTGGAGCAGGGAGGGGGCTGAGCTGTCCCAGACACCCCAGTGCCCCCAAGCCCCAACACGCCCTATAAGCCATCACAGCTCCAAGGCCAGCTTTCCGTGCCCGCGAGGCCCAATCTGAGCTGCGGCCCATCCCCCATCCGCTGGCTGAGTCAGGACACCCTGCACCGGGCACACACCCCACTGTGGGCACCCGAAGGAGCTGCTGCCTCACAGTGGAGTTCATGCCAAGAAATTTCTTCCCCAGCCAAGCCCAGGCCGCAGGTTCCGACAGGCCCGGGCCTCCTCCTTCTGCCCCCGCCTGCCCCTCCCTCTCTCCCTCAGACCTGGTGCCGCCAGGAAACCTGCTCCTCTGCTCGGTGCCCAGGAGGCATGGGCCTGTGCTCCCGTCCTGATCCTGTCCTGTCTCCTGCCCCTCAGCCCATGCTGCCCCCAGCGCCCAGCACTGGCCTGGCACATAGTAGGTGCTCAGTAAAGATTTACTGAACAAACGAACCAGCAAACAAAAGAATGAATGAATGCACAAATGAATGACAGTAAATGGATGAATGAATGAACACACGGGTTTAATTCCAGCTCCGTGTCTCATTCTCCGAGACCCTGGGGAAGCCCCAGTGCAGCCTTGGTTCCCCAAAGGCCCGGCCTGCTAGGAGTTTCCAGAACTCACAGCCCCGTCCCCACAGAACACTGTTCTCCGGGACCCAGCTTGTACCAAGCCCACCCCGCCCTGCATGCCCATCACCCTCTGCACCGAGGGTCCCGCCTTGCAGCCGCTGTTCTCTGTGGTGTGAGCCGTGCAAACTGAATAGACAGGCGAGTCAATAGGAAGCGGAACTTCAGCTGCAAGCAGCCAAACACAGCTGGGCCTGCGGCACCGCAGCCTTGGGACTGCTGTATCATCTTTTCAAACGACTCCCTTCCCCTGGCAGTCCCCCCAGAGCTCCCTGGGGCTTTCTTGGTGGAGGGGGTCCCACACACACCCAGGAGGATCCTGCGGCCTCCTTTCTCCTCTCCCCACCCCCTGCCTCTGCCTTTGTGGGGCTTTCCAGAGCAAGCACCCGCCAGTCTGAGGCCCCATGGCCTGGGCTACGGAAGGGGAGCGAGCTGGACCCCCTCCACACACACGGAGTTGAGCTATGTGCCTGGGCTGGCATCTCTGCCCCTCTGAGCCTCAGTTTCTCCATCTGTAAAATGGGGCTGCCCCTAGGCTTTCCTGGCAGCATTGGTCTAAGTATTAGCACAGTGCCCGGCCCACAGGGGGCGCCCGTGGACGTGAAGGGGAGGCTGCGTCTCACATGGACTGGGGCCACGGAGGACGGTGCAGGTGGACGGATGGCCCCACTCAGCTGCAGGACCCCTCCTGCCCCACCCACTATTTCCGTGACAGTACTACAGGGTTATTTGGTTACTCTAAAAGTAATAACATCATTACAGAAAAACTGGAAACCAGAAAACATCAGGGAAAAAAACTACCCGTCAGCCACAACACCATCACCCCGGCACACCCACGGCTTCGGGCCAGTTTCCTGCCATTCTTTCCCCCTGCGACCTCAACGTGGCACTGCGCTACAGGTACTGCTTGTGCCCTGTGGTTTCCACCAGGAGGATCCTGTTCTCTCCGTTCCCCAGGTCATGTTCAGAGTCACGTTTAAGGGCCTGGGACCTGCCCTACTCAGCCCCCACGTGCTTCCTGATCTTCTGCTGGGATGACTCAGGCCCAGGGTGGGAACTGTCACCCTGGAGAGCAAGGGGTCTGGCTGGTGGGGGCCCAGGCTGGCCTCAGACCCGACCCTGGCCTCCCTTCTCCAATCCTGCAGCCTCCTTCCCCTGCCGAACGCAGACAACCATGCCAGCAGCCCACAGCTGGAGACACCAAGAGCAGGCTTCATGACACCCAGCGAGCGCTGGCCCAGGGGGCACGCTGCGGTGACCTGGCCTGAGCTCTCACCCAGCTCTGCTCCTGCTTCCTGCGTGGCCCTGAGAAAAGTCACAGGATCACTGACTCTCCTCTTAATGGCTACTAACAGGCAGCACAAAGCAAGATGATCCCGTCTCACGGTAGGGAAATGGGGGCCGGTGGTCAGTGCAGACCTCTCCGAGGAGGGGACACGGGAGTGGAGATGCCGAGATCTGGGGACAGAGGGAACAGCAGAGGGACGAGCAAGGCTGGAGGCTCTGTGGTAGGAACGAGCTCAGCCTGGGCGAGGATACTTGTGATCGGGGGAGAGGGAGCCCTGAGGGCCACCATCGAGGGCACGAAGGGGCACTGGCCGGGTCTCAAGCAAGGGTCCTCCGAAAATGGGCCAGTAATCAGGAGGCAGGGGCTGCTCCATTTGCTTCCTGTGCAAAGGACAAGGGGAGAGTGGGCAGCATGGATCCAGCCCCAGACCCAGTGGGCTTGTGGGACAGTCCTGGTGAACCTGTGAGGTTTAGGCCAAAGGAGGGCTGACAAAAGGGCCCATTTTGCAGGCTGGTGGCAATTGCACTGGCTGTCCACCAGGGCACTGCAGGAGACTGATCCAGAACGCTGTGCTCCATGATCCATTACCCATGTCTGCACGGGCACAGGTGAGGACAGTGGTGGCCTGAGCTTCGTTGTTCAACCACCCCTGCTCCAGCACCCCCCGTGGGATGCAGCCTTTCTGGAACACAACAGTGAGGTGGGCAGTGGGGGGCAGAGGAAGGCATTGGTTCAGCTACCTCCTTGCCTTGAAGGCGCCTTGAAGGCACCACCAGAATGAGCCAAAGGACACTTATTTGAGGTCCATGGAACTTTCTGGCAAATAACAGGTCATTTTTTTGGTAAGTTCTTTAGCAAGAGCCCCCCTAGGGCAGGACTGGGTGTCACAGGCCCAGGGTCCCGGCTTTACTTTGGGGGTCTCAGCAACTGCTCCCCACAGGCCCACCTCCTCAACTTCCCTGCTGGTCCCCAGACACGCCATACCTGTTCCCACCGCTGAGCCTCTGGGCCTCGGTTTCCCCATCTGCACAATGAGGAGGGGACCTGCAATCTCAGAGCTGCCCCACGGGTCGCACTGATGATGACACCAGTGTCGTTACTGCTGCTGTTTTAACCCCAGCTACGAGAGAAGACGGCCGGGCTCTGTTCCACATGCCTCACATCAGTCCACTCACTCCCTCGGCACTCCATTAGGCTTGACTGTCATTACCCCCACTTTCCAGGTGGAGAAACTGAGGCACTAAGAAGTTCGGTAACCAGACTGTACTAGGAAGTCTTCAAGCTCAGCGAGCTCACCTCCTTGCTCCCCTCACCATGCCCCCAGCTCAGGTTCACCCTGGCTGCCCCGCCTCCCACAGTGACAGCCCACATGCCACTCTGCTGGCCTGGCCCGGGCAGGCATCACTCATCCATCACAGACCTCGTTCATCCCTCACAGCTCTACTCTGCATCTGCGCCAGGACATACAGCCTCAGTGATACAGCGGTCCAGGCAGCCACAGCGGAAGCCTGCTTGCCACCCTTGACCCAGACTAATCGATCATGTGACAGAGGGGACAGCTGAAGCCCAGAAAACGGAAGAGACTTCTCAAGGCCACAGGACGATGCAGTGACAAAACCGGACCTGGAACCCTATAGCCTTATTTGTTGCTGGTCCAAACCTCCCCCTGCCCTTTGGTGAGCAGAGCCTGAATGAACCGTCAGGGCCTCAGAGATGTCACTCAAGGCAAGGAGGCAGCGACACCCGCCTCCCCCACCCCCAGCTGATGTCGATCTGTGCCAGCCTATCCTCAGAACCGAGGCTGCCAGGACTGGTTGGCGGGTGAGCCATTCTCAGAGGCCACCCCCGTGCCCCTGTGCTGGGCCTCGGGGCTGCTGTCCCCCCAGCACAGAGCCCACATCCCCGACCCGCACGGCACCGCAGGGAGAGCAGCTACTCACCACTGCTGGACTTCCTTCTCCGTAACTGCGAAAGAAAACAGAAAAGTGACCTTTTAGTTCGGGGAGGTGTCCCAGGGGGTGGGCAGACACCGGGGGACCTCCTCCCTGCCCTCCCACCCCGCCCCACAGCCTGCCTGCCTGAGCTGGGACACCAGGTGGCTCTGGACGTTCCCAGTCAGGAGCTTTGTGTCCGGACACCCCACAGGGGACGGTGCTGGCCCGTCCCCTCCCGACGCCCACTGTGCTGCTGGCAGGACTGCCCAGTACAGCCGCCCATGGGCAGGGCTGGCTCCCCCTGCCTGCCTCAGGCAGGCAGGCGGCGCTGTGGTGCCCTGGGCTGGACATTTAATGTACATTCGTCCCATCTCTCAGTCCCGGGCACAGCACAGGCAGAGCAGGTGCTGGCTTCCCCGGGCATATGGCAGCCCTGCCTGCACGTGGGGGGCCAGCAGAAAGGCTGAGCCCCCTCCTCGGTCCTGCAGCGCCCAGCAAGCCCCCCACCTCGGCCCATCTTTCAGACCCTCACAGTGGCCAGTTCCAAGTTCTTTCACAAGCAAGATGAGAACCGAGTCGTGAACCAAAAGCTGGAATGAGCCAAATAAAGTGGCCGAACCTCCAGCCAGGCCCAAACAGTCATTCTTTGCTGAACCATGAAATGAACAAATGCTTTTTTCTGAAAAGTACTGAACCAGTTCAAGCTGGAAACAAGCCAGTGTCCTCTCTAAAGTCACTGAATGAGAAGATCTAACCCCTTCCAAGGTCACGCTCACTTCCTGCAGGGGTAACCTCAGGAGAGCACCTCCAGCGCCCGTGCCTCAGTTTCCTCGTTTGTAAACTGGAAATAAGAGTGACAGTCCCCGCCGCAGGAGCTGTCCTGAGAATTCCGTTAAAACAGGTGTGAAAACTCCTGAATCCCAGCATGCAGCCTGGCACTTGCACGTGCTCCGTACAGCCTTGTGGAATGGATGCATGAATGAACAAATGAACCCATGAATGAACGACTGAGTGAAAGAATGTATGAGTGAATGAAGGAATGTATAAAGAGCATGAGCAAATGAATGAATGTATAAGCCAAAAATAAATGCATGAGCAAATGAATGAATGTTTGAGTAAAGGAATGAATGTATAAATGAACAAATAATGAAAGCACTAATGAACAAATTAACAAATGAATAAATGAACAAATGAATGAAGGTGTGAGTAATGAATGAATGTGTGAGGAATGAATGAATGTATGAGTATGTGAATGAATGTATAGATGAACAAATGAGTGAATGAATGAATGCATGGACAAGCAAATGGGAAGTCAGGTGTTAGGTGGAGGTCAGGTGAGTGAAGAAGCTGGAGCCCTTCCCAGGGAAGGGGAAAAAGGCCCTGGGGGTGTCCCTGAACTGTTCGAGTCTGATCAGACTTGAGGCCACTTTTCAAAAACAGCTTGAAGCAAGCCAGTCCTTGGCACTTAAACAAGTGCCAAGGACAAAGCGTCCACCACAGGCCCAGATCTGGGCCAGGGGACCTGGGGCCCTGGACTTCGACTCAGTGGCCCTGACAACAGCTCCAAGGGAGGACAGCATTTCTCTGTCCTGGTTCCAAATGGGGAAACTGAGGCACGAAGGGGTCAGCCCATGAAGTGGTAGGGAGAGGGTCTGAACTCAGCCACCTGACCCACAGCCTGGAGGCCTCCGCCAGGCCCCCCACATCAGCACTCCCCTCCCAAACCCCAATCAGAGAGGGAGGGAGAGACCTGCCCACCAGCGGGCCACTGACCAAAGGAGAGTGAGGCTGTGACGGGAGGTGCTGGCTACCTGGAACGGGCAGACCTGGGGTAAAAAATGCAATTTTTGAGAGCTTTGACAGGGAGTCGAGATTGGGAAGGGGGTCAGTTACATGGGCAGAGAGGGAAGGTGTCCCTGGTCTAGTGGAGTTGAGCTGTCCTGGACCCGCCGCCTGCACCTGCCAGTGAAGGGCAGCAGGGCTGAGGGTTGAGGGGCTGAGGCGCAAAGACCGAACCTGGAGACAAAGGAGACACATCACAGCCCAGCCAGGAGCTCAGGGGCATGAATGCTGGAGCCCAACTAGAACCCCCGGGTTCAAATCCAGCTCCGCAGCTTACGAGCTGTGTGTCCCTGGGCAAAGTGCGGCTCCCCTCTGAGCCTCGGTTCCCTCATCTGTAGAACGGGCTTACTGTGAAGAGTCAAGTGCTTGGTGCTCTTGACTGGCACAAAAATCCCGTTGGTGGGTACGATCCCATTTTCCTGATAAGGAGACTGAGGTTCAGATGAGTCTGCTAATTTGCTGGACGTCAACAGAGGTCACCCTGCCAGGAAATGGCAGGACCGGGACGGAGCCCCCAGAGCCCAGCACAGACGCCCAATTAAGTAACCCCGCCCCTTGAGTCAGCCAGTGATTTTTGGGACCTTGTGTGACCTTGGTGTCATGGGACATAAAGAGCAGGAGCTGGGTGACCAGAGCTCAGGTGGCCGGGCCACACAGGGCCAGAGGAGCCTTCCCAGGAATCTCCCAGCTCACAAGTCCTCCCCCTTCCCTGACCAGGTGCAGACCCCTGGCAGCCTTGCCCCGGGGCCCCTCAGCCTCCAGCCTCCCCAAGCCCCCAGGAAGCAGCAGAGTTGGCTGCCCCTCCCCCATTAGACCGGTTCCCTACACGGAACACAGGGCAGATGGCAGGCGGCCAAACTCCAAGGGATGGAACCTGGGGGTGGGGAGACAAGCCCCACCCGATGCTGTAAGCAGCTAATTAACCTTTCGGAAACAGATGAGTCTGTCAGCTGTCCCGGCACCAAGCCAGGGCCAGCAGCTCTCCCGGGCTCCCCCACCTGGAGTCTGGGAGAGTCTCGGAAGGAGGCGGGGTGTGGGCAGCAGGCAGCATCCTGAGGGCCTGGCCACCCGCCCCACCTCCACCAGGGTCAGACAGGCCGGTGTCTACGTCCCAGCCCCCCACTTGCCAGCTCCCATCCCAACCTGGAGCTGAGCAGTGGCCCTCCCTGTTCCTCTGGAAGTGAGCCATGGCAGCCACCTGGGGAAGGGCCCAAGGCCACGGCCAGAAGGAGGCGCTGCAGGACCTCTGCCCGGGTCAGCCTCACCCAGGCCAGCTATTCCCACAGCGCCTCCTGGACTCTCCCTCGCCCTCCCCCTTCTGTCTGGTGACTCACTGGGAAGTTTCTTTTCGCTTACCTGCCTGATCTAGCTTCAGTCTAAGCAAGAACATCCATAAAATTACCAGGGACACGTGCTGGTCGTACCTGACCTTTTCTAAACACCATCAGGATGAACTGTTAAAAGAGGACCGGCCTCCCCGTCGTAAAACACCGCGGTTTGACGTGGCGGAGGACGCTGTCCACGGAGCTCTCCAGCCTAACGACCTAACCTGAGTCTAATCGTGAGGGCACAAGCACAGAAACCCCGCTGTGCCACACACAGGTGGCCAGGACACCAGCAAGTCAGCGCCCTGGAAGGCAAAACAAGGCCTGGGGACTGTTCCGGAAAGAGACCAAAGAGGCGAGGCACCCAAGGCAGCTCCCGATGCCTGGACTGGGTCCCGGATCTGGAATTTAGACTGAAGGGGCCGCACTGGGACAGCGGGGGGTGGGGGATGGGAGCCGCACCGTGGGCGGCGGTCGGACGCCCTGATGGGGCTCTCTGACGGTTTTCTCGGGAGAGCTAACACTACAGAAGCCGTGTGAGAAAACGTCCTACTTCCTTGGAGATGTGCCCCCGAAGTACTGAGGGGGAGGGTCAGGACGCCAGCTGCTTCTTGTGGCAGGTGCGGAAATACACGAGCGAATCTTTACAAAGAGGAAGCCAATGTGTGGGAAATCTGTTGACAGGTGGAAAATCAGCAGATGCTCCCCGATTAGGGTGGGGTTACACCCCACCAACCCATAGTCAGTTGAAAACACTACAAGTTGAAAACTGCATTTCATGCCACACTGCGGGGTGCTGGTGGTTCACCCCCAAGACCGCACGGCGGACCGGAGCCGCGGCTCAGTGCCGGCCCAGCGTCACTGGAGGGCATCATGTCACATGTCACTAGCCTAGGCAAAGAGCGAAATTCAGAACGTGACGTCAGCATCTACCGAACCGGGATCACTTCCCCGCCGCTGTGGAAAAACCGGAAGTCACGCCATCTGAGGCTGGGGACCGTCTGCTGGTGAAGGGCACAGGGGTGCTCACCGCGCTGTTATGGCGATGTCTGTCTTGATTTTTCAAAATAAAAAGTTGGGAAGCAATGTTTGTTCTCATCAGCCCAGCACCAGTGTGCCCCTGCCGCCCAGCCCCGGGGGGCCAGGTCCTGCGCCCGGAGCAGCCCCCACCACCACAGGCACTGAGAGGGTTGAGGGACCTAGGGCACAGGTTGGGGTCCCTCTGCCTCTATCTCTGCCCAGATAACCAGTGAGATTCCGAGGCGCAGGCTCCCCCTCCGGGCCTCATCCCCGCCCCCCACACATCCTGGGGCCTCCATCCACGTGTGAAATTAACAGGCAGCCTTTGCCCCGGACCCGCTCAAGGCCCAGAGGTCAGGGCTGGGGGCCGGGCTGGAAGATCACGGCCCCCAGGCAACTGGCCCCCACCCATGTCCCCTGCCCACACCCAACCCCGAGATCCCTCAAGCTCCTCTCACTGGTCCCACCCCCAGGCCTTTGCGCCTACACCCTCCCGACCCCACCACAGCCCCTCCGAAGCCCCCACACTTGGGAATCGATGTCTCACTTTGAGCCTGTCTTCCCACAGGCTGCGCGGCAGAGGGTCAGACAGGGCGCCGCCCAGGCCAAGGCACGGAGGGGACAGTGTTAAACACAGTGGTCCACAGAAAGGACTCCGGGGTCCCCCGGCCAGCGCTCCGGGCCCAGGCTCGCTCACCTGGACGTGGGACAGACCACCTCTGTATTATGGAAGGTGAGGGGGACTCGTGAAGTGCTGAGCACCTAGTAGGTCCTCATTAGAAGCACTCTCTGCCCCCCTCTTCCCAGCTGGATGCTAAGGCCCCAGAGGCCAAGGCACCCCTCC